TCTCAGAGAACGACTTGTTGTTCTGCTCAGCGCTGAAGTTAATTACATCCTTACACGCCTGCAAAAGGATGCCCTTGGTTTGCGCATGCTTTTCGAACGGATCGTCCGAGAGCGGCCCCACGAGAGAAAGTAAATCGTCAACAGCGACAGGAAACTGCGAATGTTTGGTGACCCAACTGGAAACACGAAAACCGCAACTTGACCCAGGGCTGAGCGTCAAACAAACGGGGGCATGGTCAGAGAGCTTGCCAACCCTCGAGATGGGCTCCAGCGTACGGGCCTTGGGGTGGTACTCTAGAATGGTGGCGCTGAACACGTTTGTGTAAATACGATCGATACGACTGTAGCTTTGAACGACTTGGACCCCTTCCTCCCCCTGAGTCACCCGGTGCGTGAAGGCGGGTTGCTCGACCTCGCAAAGATCTGCGAAGCGCTGCTCGAAGAAGGCGGCGGCGTCGGAACTGGAGTAGTGCACGGCGCCTGAGACATGGAAGCCGCCCTCGCCTGCCGCGGGAAAGTTGAAATCACCTAAGACGAAGCCCGTAGCCGCAGAGGGAGGGAGTAGAGCACGTCTGACAAGCATAAGATGTTGTTTCTGGTCTTGAAGGGCGAGGCAAGGATCGAGATGAATGTTGAGAAGCTGCAAAGTCCCACGGCTGCCCCCCAGCGTGAGAGACTAAATTCGGCCCTGCACAAGGACAGAATAGCGACAGTATTGGAATTGGCTTCGAAGATCGGGGCGCAGAAAAATGAGGACACCTCCCGCAGACCTGTCGTCGAAGAAGGACCCAATACCCCAAATGCCATGGACTTCAGAACACAGCCTCTGGAGGTCGAACTTGGTGCCTCTCGCCTCTTGAATGCAAACCACCTGGAACTTCTGGACATAGGATACTAGGCGTGACATTTTTCGTTTGACGATGTCCAGAGTCGAAGTGATGCCCCCAAAGAGAAAACGAGCATTCCACGAAACGATACTCAAGTGAGATTTCCAGATAAACGGCGAATGGGTCCAAACCCCAGGAAACGGAGAAAAGCTAGAAGGACCAAAGGAGGACGGTAAACAGGACCCACTCGAAGAAGTCGAACCAGTAGAAGACCCAGACGACCCAGAAGAGGAGGACGAGGAAGCCGAAAAGCTCAGACACCAAGCGGAGGAAGGCGATGGAGAGCAGGGAACACGCATCCCAGCCGAGCGGGCTGGGTCAAACCTGGTTGGCGAGGCACCCGTTCAAGACGAGCGCGCTGCTGTAATCATCGAGTTGGCCTGGTCCGCCGAGATCTCGAAGGCGGCGATGCCGACAGGGTGAGGTGAGATCTCGAACTGGCCGACGTTCTGCTCAGCGACAGAGAAGAGCTCGTGGACCACGTCGTTGACTGCGCAGAAGAGAATGCCCTTGAAACCATTGACTCCGAGCTTGTGCGTGGCGTCATTCCACTGACCAGTCTGACGTAGATGTGCATTGACCTGCTGCCAGATCTTTCCGAGGAAATTGTTCTTGTGGCGCACGGACGTTGGGGCATCGCGGCGGCAACGGAGCTGGACCTGAGAATTGGAGTGAGTGTCATTCCACAAAATGCCTTGAGCACGGGCGTGATCGATGAAGGAGGACGCGTCGACGTTGCTGGCGAACTGGATCGAGTAACTCTTCGCAAGATTGTGCCCCTTGATGACGATGCCCGCCTGCCTGATGTGGGTAGGCAAGCCCTGCACAAGGAGGTTGCCGTGCGCCTCGAGCGAGGCCTTGAGCATGGGTCTGGTGAAGCCGCCGACCCAGACCTTGAGCGGGTTGAAGTCGTCCTCATGCGTGCGGCTGGCGCTGCTGCCCACGGTAGACGGAGGCGTACCAGTACGGCGGCGAGAAGTAGGGGGGCCCGACAGGTCAGAATTGCCACTGGAGCGCGATGATTGGGAAGACTCGATCGCGGCCATGCGCTGCTCCATCTGGATGCGAAGGGCGGCCACGGCGGCAGTGTCCGAGGAGGCGGCGATGCGAGACTCGAGCGTGTTGATTCTCTGGGTGAGCGTTGCCATATTCCTGTCGTGAGACGTGATGCTCTCGCGGAGGGTGTCAAGCGCGGACACGGAGGACTCAACAGTGGCCAGGCGCTGGTTGACACCGCCAAGCTGCTGCAAGATCTGCTTGATGCCTTCCTCAACCGACGACATGGCGGCAGAGACAGAGAAGGGGACTGGAAGAGTGTCCGCCCAGGCACGACACCTGGGATGGTTCCGAAGGAGCTGCCCACTCAAATCGCGGATTGCCCTGCAACTTGAGCCAAAATGGCAACGGAGGGGAGGAGGAGGAGGAGGAGGAGGAGGAGGAGGAGGAGGGAGGAGGAGGGAGGAGGAGGAGGAGGAGGAGGAGGAGGAGGAGGGAGGAGGAGGAGGAGGAGGAGGGAGGAGGAGGAGGAGGAGCAAGAGGAGGAGCAGCAGAGAGGGAGGCAGCCAGTACCGGAGAGCGGCGAGGTGGCCAGGGGGAGCAGGCGGCGGCGACACGAGGCGTGACCGACCCCGGCAGAGCAGGGGGAAAGGGGGGCCCGCCGCCCAGTCAAAGAGAGCGTGGGGAGAGCGCGGGGAGCAGGGGGGGGGGGAGACCCGGGGCAGCGCAGGCCAGACGAGGCCTGGGAGAAAAGCGGGAGCACACACACACACATATATATATATATATATATATATATATATATACATACATACATACATATACAAACACATAAAGTACACATACGTATATACATACATGAACACACACACATACATGCATTCATGCATGCATGCATGCATGCATGCATGCATACATACATACATACATACATACATACATACGTACATACATACAGACAGACAGACAGGCAGACATACATACACATATACAAACATACATACATACATACATACATACATACATACAGACAGACAGACAGACAGGCAGGCAGGCAGGCAGGCAGGCAGACAGCCAGACCTATATATAGACATACAAACATACCTGCATAGACACATCAATCCATACATACATACATACAGACAGACAGACAGTCAGACAGACATGCATGCATGGATGCATGCATGCATGCATGCATGCATGCATGCATACCTACATATTCATACACGCAAACACGCATACCTGTGTACATACATTCATACATGCATACGTACATGCATACAGACATGCGTGCATGCATGCATGCATAAATGCATACGCATGTACGTGCATGTATATATGTATAATTGCATATGAACACACATATATGCATATTTGCATGCAAGCATATGTACATATGTATATGTATACAGGCATGAATACCTGCATACACACATGTACTGGCATGCATACATGCACACATACTTACTTACACAAATACATACATGCATGCATGCATGCATACATACACACGTAAACACAATACAACATACACATACACAGATCGACATATGTGCAAATACGTATGTGTGTATATTCCTTCTCGAACATTATTACAAGGACCACCCGTACAAAATTTCGGTCCTGGGCGCTCGCATCAACATGAAATTCGAAGTTTCGGTTTCGGGAGCCCTCCGGGCCATTCTACGCCGCCTGAGCGGGCCCAGGATCGCTTCCCGACAGTCCCGCGGAGCCCCAAAACAGCCCAAGGCCGCTCCAAAACGGCCCATGAGCGCTCAAAGCCCAAGGTGGCTTCAAGACGGCCAAAGGGGCCCCCAAGACATCTCAAAGAGACCCTCAAGGGGACCCCGAAGACGCAAAAATCGCACCATTCTCTGAGGGAAACGCACATGTTCAACATATTCGCTTCGTTGGCCTCCACGGCGTCGAAAACGGCTCAAGAGACCCCACAGATCGCCCCAGGACAGCCCAAAAACTCCCCAAAAAGGCCCCAAGACGGCCCAAATGCCTCGAAGTCGGCCCAAGACGGGCCTCAGAGGGTTCCAAAAGGCTCCCAAGAGAGCCCCAAGAAGGACACAGGAGACCCCCAAGAGGGCCCCCCAAGAAAGCCCCAAGACGGCCCAAGCCCCCCGAGACGGTTCAAGAGGGTCTCGGGACGGCCCCGAAGGCCGCCAGACGGACCTAAAGAGCCCCGAAAGGATCCCAACAAAGGCCCTGAGAGGCCACAGTCATGCTTTTTCGCGAGGTTGCGTGGTAGATGTTTTCAATCACGTGCCAAAGGCTAAACGCCAAGACGCTCCCAAACCCTGAGCGCGCGATCTCGCGCCCTCACACAGTACGAGCGGCGCAAGTGGCTTTCAAGGAGGCCCCGAGACAGCCCAATAAGGCCTCGAAACTGCCCATAAGGCCCCGCAAAAAGGGTTCGGATGGCGCTATGAGCCGTTCGAGCCCTATGAGCCTTATGAGGCCTACAATCCCTATGTGCCCTTAAGATGGCCCCCGAGACGCTGCTACCCAAAGACCTCTGAGGCCCGAGAGCTTTACTGGTCCATGAACCCAATGAGCTCCTGAGCCCTACGGCACCTATGAACCCGACGACGGTGCGAGACCTTCGCTTTTTAGGTATATATACATATATATATATATATATATATATATGTATATATATGTGTGTACACACAGATATACATCTATATATATATATATATATATATATATATATGTGTGTGTATGGGTGTGTATATATATATATATATGTATGTAGATGTGCCATCTTGTTATCGTGTGCCAAGATGAGGAACCACTACGAAGCGGCACTCTTGTCTCGCTTGACACATGCTCTGCAACCGGCGTGCCGTCACGGCACGGCTCATTCCATGGATTCGATCTCTTGTATCCCGAAGCTCAACGTCGTGGGAACTTTTGGGGTCGGCGCTGGACCCCCTCCCTTAGAACGCGAAGCGCTCCAGGGGGGGGGCGCAGCCAGAGGGGGAGGGGTCCAGCGCCGACCCAATATAAGATGTCCGCGCGGACGTTCGAACGTTTCTGTTCAGTCGTTTAACGTCCTTCGAAAACTGCACCAGGCGCATCTGGCTACCGCGTGGCGGGCACGCGATCCTTCTGCAAGCGGTCGCGCTCTTGCTCCAGGCCGCTCAGCTCGCTGGCGTTCCTCTTCATCGCCTCCTTGAGCTTCTGCGCCTCTGCGGGCAGTGGCCTCCCTTCGTCCTCCTCATCCTCATCATCCTCCTCCCCATTCTCCTCCTGCTCATCCTCCTCCTCCTCATCATCATCTGCATCATCACCACCATCCTCTTCCACCTCATCATCGGCATCCTCGGCAATACCCTCCCCCCTCTTCTTCCTCATCTACATGATCACCACCACCATCATTCTCAGCATCGTGATCCTCAAAATCTCCATCAAACTGAGTGTCGTCACTAATCCCCATATGATCCTCTTCCTCCTCCTCCTCCTCCTCCTCATCATCATCATCATCATCATCATCAACATCATCATCACCATCATCATCACCATCATCATCAGCAGCAGCATCAGCATTATACTCATCATTATCCTCACCAGTATCATCGTCATCGTCATCGTCATCATCGTTATCAGCATCATCAGCAGCATCCTCATCGTAATCATCATCAGCATCATCATCCTTACCATCATCATCATTAGCATCATCGTCATCGTCGTCGCCTTCATCATTACCATCAGCATCATCAGCATCATCATCAGCATCGTCACCATCATCATCAGCAGGAGCAGCGGCAGCATTATCATCATCATCATCATCAGCAGCAGCGGCGGCAGCATCAACAACATCATAATCATCATCATCATCATCATCATCATCATCATCATCATCATCATCATCATCATCATCATCATCATCATCATCATCATCATCATTTCGTGACAATCCCAACTCAATGCGCATTGAGCAGCAGTGCATTGACAACACCTAAGGCGTGTCCGCTGCGCGTATATCCTTCGTCTCGTCAGTCTACGTTTCGGACACAAATACCAATGACTCAGCTCTGCGGCCCGGGCGCTGTTCAAAAACTAGTCGGACGCGGAGCTCAAGAAGCACCTGGTGCCTGGCGCGACCATATCCATTCCGAAGCCCTGAATTCCAACGTGTCGACATCTCCTGGGGGCGCATCTTGTAATTACTTCCGCTGGCGGAAGCCAGCGGAGCCGCCCTCGTCTTGCTTCCGGCGCCTTCCGTCGGCCTTCCGCCGCCCTTCAGCCGAAGAAGAGATGTCAACCTCTCGATCCCTCAAAGGCGAGGCCCTCTTGAGGAACGCCCCACATCAGCACCGTGCGCTCCTCACAGGTCATTGCCAGGCAGCGGCAGCGGTGGACAGTCTCCGCGACCGTCGCGGCAGTCGCCGCACCAGGAGTACACACAGCCAAGCGACGCCGAGGCGAGCGACGTGCACGTCGATACCGCGCCGGCTGACGACTTACAGCAGTGGAGGCCAGTCCACAAGAAACCTTCTACAAGAAACCCAACCCTGAGACTCCAGGACGTCCATCGATTTCTGGTGCGGGAACGTCACGATTCCCATAGAAAAGCCATCGAAACCCAAGAAACCCAGGGCACCCTGGAGGCAAGCAGGGTGGTTCTTGGCATGGGCCTCCACTGTAGGCATCCAGCCGATGCAGACCATCGCCAGGGACGTCCAGGGGAGCTCCCATGAGAAGGCCGCCTCTGTCATTGCGGGAAAGCTCTCCGGATCGGCAACCAGACGGGCGAAGCCAGCCAAAAACCCAGGGCCAGGATCGTCAGCAGTGCACCATCCGACGAGTTCGTAGACCCAGGCGCAGCCTTCAAGAAGCAGAACGTGATCGATTCCATCGATGGCGGCATCGCGAGCCACGTGGAGGAGGCCGAGGTCATCCAGGAGTCCCTCGGCGTGTAGAGGGGGATGGTCAACCCCCACGCTGACGTCACCAAGTCAGCAGAACAATGCGATGCTTGAGCAGGTCAGAAGACGTCCAGCCGCGTTGGGAGCCTCCAGAGCATCTTCGCAGTGCATCCATAGCGACGCCATTCTAGCAAGAGAAGCTCCTCGGCATTGGGGCCCAACTAGCCGACACCTGGCACCAGGGAACGGCTGCAGCCGCTGCAGCCCGCAGTCCCGACCGACCTCCAAAACCTGCCGACCGACCGGCAAAACCTGCCACCCTCCCTTTCATCCTCTACGACGGTGGGAGAAGACTTCGCCGAGCCCACGTGGAGCCCCTGCGGCGGCTCAGAAGGGCCGCTGGCCCGCAGGGCGGGCGGTGAGAAACTTTAGCCACTCTGGGCCGTGCTGGGCTCCGCGTCGTTCCCTGTCTCAGAGGTGTCATGCTCGCCTCCCTAATGGGACGCGCAGAGACATACTATTACTATATGTCCACCTTGGAGGCGCGCGCCCGACCCGAACATATAGTATACCCATCTTGTAGCATGTCGTTTCCCCAGCGGTGTGGCCAGAAAGCGCCCACCACGACGCATATACTATAAGATTTCTCGGTGCGCGCGTCGCCCCTGGGGGGGCGACGCACAGATAGTATAAGTATGTTGTGGTGACGCCTTTCTGAGGCGGTGGGAACGGAAAAACCTCGGCGCTCCTCTTCCCCCCGGGCGAGTGGGGTGGCCGCCGGGGGCCTCCAGAGCCGGCAGTACCAGACCCAGTCCGACTGCGTCGCGTGAGCAACGTGCAGGTTCTGTTCTGCTCGCTCCCGTCTCCCCACCTTGATTAACCAAATAAGGACCACTTAATCCTTTGGGAGGGGACCTGACTTAGGAGGGCCAAGAACATCAGGGATAGGGGGGCCTTTTCTTATCGAACCAAAATCCCCTTAATCCTTTGAGAGGGGACCTAAGTTAGGAGGGCCAAGAACATTAGGGATAGGGGGTCTTTTCTGCAGATGTATCGAACCAAACCGCCCAGCTGTAGTATCCCTAATGCAAAGACGGGGACCTCAGTGAGGCCACGTCTTCGCTGTGTTATTAGGGTTACGGGTTCTTCTATTCTCGATGGCACATGACCACCCCACGTGTGACGAAGGTGGAGTAATTGAAATCGTGCGGGGCCACCCTCGGTTTGAACATGTGGGTCATCAAGTTGAAGAGGATAACGATGGCGCCGCGGCCGCGCCTCCACGCCGCGTAGGGGATCCTGGCGGGGCCAGGCACAGTGTGGGCAGCCCCGGCTGCCGCTCTGTCCAGCGCCTCCAGGCTCGGCATCGGAAGGTCCGCCAGCGGCGCCGCTTCCGCGTGCTGTAACACGTCGATCCCGGCATCATCAGCGGACTGAAAGGCAAACACTGGACCCCAGAAATCCAGGACCTCGCGGGTCATGCCCGCCGCACCGGAGGCGACGCGAGCCCCGGGGAGGGGCAAGTCCAGGCGCACGCAGTAAGGATTCCAGAAAACGTCGGGTTCCTGTGCCGCCTTCGGCAAGTTGGCGGCGGGAGGGGGACTGCGGGCGCTTCACCAGAGCCAAACTGCACCACATCGCATCGTAGATGATTCTCGATCTTGGCGGTGGCAGTCCTACACTGTGCTCGGCATCTTGACTCCAGAGAGCTTCTCACTCGGCGCCGCCAGGGCCACCAGGGCAGCGCCCGACGCTCCGCTGCCCCGCCCGAGACCGCTTCCACCCGGGGCCCTCCTCCTTCCTCCTCCTCCTCCTCCTCCTCCTCCTCCTACTCCTCCTCCTCCTCCTCCCTCCTCCTCCTCCTCCTCCTCCTCCCTCCTCCTCCTCCTCCTCCTCCTCCTCCTCCCTCCTCCTCCCCCTCCTCCTTCCTCCTCCTCCTCCTCCTCCTCCTCCTCCGCAGGGACCTGGCGGACCTGGCGCACGGCCAGCCTCCCTCGCCCCCCCCTCCGGCGCGGCGGGCGCGGCATCGCTCAGCTCCCGCTCGAGGGCGATCGGGGCGCGCAGCCGCACCTCGTCGCCGAGGACCTCCGGGTGGTGCAGGCGGACGGACGCCGTGGAGATCGGCGGCGAGGCCAGCAACGCATCCTGGCACCACATCGAGCGCGCCGCACTCTTCAGGGCCATACACTTGGCCCCCGTCGCGTGGTGCGTCGCCCCCTTGGAGTCCAGGTTGGACCACAGGAGCTCGGCCCGCACCGCTCGCGCCTCCGGCCGCACGCACTCTTTGGCGCCTCGCCGCGCCGCCTCGGGGGAGCGGCCCGGCGGCACGAAGGTGATGTGCCCGATCACGTTGTCGTTGCCGGAGGCACGCTCGAAGAAACATGCAGGCAGCGGCATCTCGTAGTTCTGTGGCGGACGCCTCGGAGCAATCTGCAGAGCCAGCAAGACGGGATCACTGAGATTTGCTTGTCCGAGAGGTCCGCAGCGTCGCCGAGCGGGCGCGGCATCTCTGCAGCGGTGGGCGTCGCGTGGGCGGGGCCAGACACGAAGACGCGATCGATGCTCGTCATGACGTGCGTGCGCTTGTCGTAGCGGGTGGGCAAGTCCGCCGCGATCTCGATCATGCGGCCGAAAAGCTGGCGCCAAGCTCCCTGTCGCTCCTGCTGTCGAGGCTCCAGGCGTAGCGCGAGCCTCTGCGCCACCGGGCGGCGGTGCGAGATCAGGGGCAGGTCCGAGACGTTGAGATCCCCGAGCGCGAAACAGTCTGTGCCATGCGTCCGCCTCCGCCCACCTGTTGCGGCTCTGCCACAGCCGTTGAACCCGCTGGAAGTCATCCAGCGTGAGGTCGTGGTTATGGAAAGGAGGAGGAGGAGGAGGAGGAGGAGGAGGAGGAGGAGGGGGAAGGATGGGGAGGAGACGAGGAATCAGGAGGAGGAAGGGAGTAGATGGACGAAGGGAGGAGGAGGGCGAGGGGGGAGGAAGAGAGTAGAAGGAAGAGGGAGGAGAAGGGGAAGCAGGAGGAGCGAGGGAGGAGGCGAGGGGCCACGGCGCGAGAGCGGGCGGGACGGGGCCTCGATAAACTCCTCGTCGGCGACGGCCTGCGGCGCGCACCGCGGCACCCCTCTTACAGCGGCGGCGGCGGCGGCGGCGGCAACGGCGACGGCAACGGCGGCGGCATCGGCGGCTGAGGCCGCCAGCCTTGTCCTTCCGCGCCGCCAGGGTCGTCTTCAGCGCCTGGCGCTCCTCGACCGCCGCGTTCAGGTCCTGAGCTCCTCCGCCTCGTCCACTTTCCTGGTCCTCGTCCTACATGTCCTCCTTGTCCTCCTCCTCCTTTTCCGTTTCCTCCTCCTTCTCCACCTTCTCATCCTCGTCCCCCTCCCCCTCCCCCTACCCTCCTCCGCATCCTCCTCCTCATCATAACTGCCACCACCAACGTCATCACCACCATCCTCATCGTCCTAATTATCACAACCATCATCAGTATGATCAACACAGTCGCCATCATGTTCATCACCATCGACATCACCACCGCAAGCATAATCACCATCAGCATCATCATCATCAGCAGCAGCAGAAGCAGCAACATCATCATGTTATTAATCATCCTCCCCCTCATGGTCCTCCTACTCCTCCTACTACTCCTCCTCCTCCTCCTTCTCGTCCTCCTCCTCCTCATCCTCATCATCATCCCCCATCCTCCCCCCAACCCCACACTCCTCGAACTCGTCCCCGAAATTATCAGATTCCTCCTCCGTGACCTCTCACCCTCCTCGGTGATCCAGGTTTGTGGCCAGACTGATGGACCTTGTTGAGCGTACTGTGAGCTATGGAAACCTCCCCCCTCCACGTCCACCTCCTGCGTCTTCTTTTCCTCCCACCCATTTGTGCATCCTGTTTCTGGTTCGTGTTCTTCTGGCTCGAACTATCAGCATTCGAAGTATTAGTGTTGTTACGCTTGGTAGAAGTATCGTTGTTAACAGGTGTTATGCCACTAAGGTTAAGTTGATGCATCCTACTTCATATTATCATGAGCGTTCATCTGATGCTGTCGTAGTACGATTAACAATCACAGCGTACGTGCTCTGAGTGCTATTATGTTAGCTAAGATGAGTCGTGCTCGCACGCTGCTGGCTTGCATGCTGCTGGCTAGTACGACTCAAGACATTACTCGCTGCATTATTCGCACGGTTGTGTTCCCGCTTCGCCGTAGTCGTATCATTGTTAGTCTGCTTCGTGCCATGAGTTGTCTTCTCGTGTGCCCTCGTGTTATTATCAAGTGTATGTGCACTAGTCTCAATTATTCGTAGCATCCCCAAAACCGTGCATGCACTTCAGGGTTCGCACTCATGCTCTAAGGAAGTGGCCGCGTTTTCGGTCTGGCGGCTCTGTGGCCGACGTCGCCCCCCCTGTCGCCGCCCCGTCGCTGTCCGTGGTCTGGGCCGTGTCTTCGGTATGGCGGCTATGTGGCCGCCGTCGCCGCCCAGTCGCCGCCTCGTCGCCGCTGGTCGTCTGGGTTTGTCTGGCGCTCTGGCGGCTGTCTCGTCGCCGTCGCCGCCCCGTCGCCGACCCGTCGCCGCCTCGCACAGATTGCACCGCATAGATTGCACGGCATACTGCACAACATAGATCGCACCTCATAGATTGCACCACGCAGCTTGCACTACATAGATTGCACCACATAGATTGCACAACATAGATCGCACCACACAGATCGGACACCATAGATTGCACAACCTGGAATGCACCACATAGCTTGCCCCACAAAAAAATGCACTGCCTAGATGACAGAAGCATCGCGAGCGTAGGTTGCAAGCAGGTTTCCGATGCGCTTGCACTTCGTTTTTTTGGCGTCAGCTTCAGCGTTTGGTCCCCAGACACGCATCCTACGCGCAAGCATCTACTACATACTCGTGGTGCGCCCCCCGTTTTAACAATATGCGCCGCTTCTTGCAAACCCAAAGCCCGCGGGCGCAGCTCTTGAGGTTTTGCGCGCGCGCCCTTCCGCATCATCCTCATCAGCACCATCGCCATCATACCCAGCGAAAAGATGTTCCCACTGGGGCGTAAAGCCACGATGGTTTTCACAATCGGCACCGTCGCCGCCGCCATCAGCACAACCGTCATCGTCATCATCATGGTCATTACTATACTCATCCACCGCAGCAGCAGCATCATCAACATAGGCGTCGTCGTCTATGTCGTCGTCATCGTTGCCTCTGTCTTGGCCCTCGCAAGCGGCGCCATCACCACCACCATCATCGTCGCCGCCGCCGACGTCGTCGTCACCATCATCACTCGCCCGCCCGAGTCGTGGATCTGCATAGGAAGGGTCATCGCGTCACTGAGCCAACTGACACGGCGCAAACAAGTGGCGGGTGGGTGGGCGGAAGGTCGGTCACGGCGCTGGAGATGACGACTCCAATACGTTCGAAATGAATGTCATCACATAGCATGCACCCCATAGCTTGCACCGCATGCATTGCACGACGTCGTTTGCCACGCATGCGTTGCACCAAATACATTGCACCGCACGGCTTGCACGATTAGCTTGAACCAATTAGCTTGAACCATGTAGACTTCTTCCCCCGAACAAATCAAGTATACCCCCCCCCCTGCTTTTGCCTGAATGTGTCCCCCCCCCACCCCGCAGATTGAATCTGCATACTTACTGCTCACGGTCCGTCGTTCTGCAAATATCAAACACTTGCATCCCAGCTGGCCCTGCATCGAACCCCCTTCTCCCCCCTCACATCCTGCAGGAAAACGATGTCAAGAAGTGCGCTTGGCAGCAACTCTCTCCGCAAATAGTGCCGTGCAGGCCGAGTGCGGGCGCCCAGCGCGCGCGCGCATGTCAATACCACTCCAGGAGACTCGGCCCTCGACCCGCTGCAAGACACAGACGGCTGCCCAAGAACTCGACGAGACCTGTTGCTGTTCGGCAGAAGGTTCTCAGGTCTTGGAGCACGCGCAACGGCTGACGGCTGACGCCATAAGGTGAGCGTTTTCTCATTCGGCGTTTCGACATTGGACGGAAGGGGGGGAGGGGGCTTTGCTTAGCGCGACTGTTTGCAACATCGCGTCAGCTGGGGGAGAGGCTCCACCTGCTCGAAACAGGCGCCCAAAACAGCCAAGATCTACTCCAGGGGGGTGGGGGAGGGGGGGGGTGCGAGAGCCCGCGCCGCGATCGGCAAAACAAAAAACAAGAAAACGAAGACAAGAAGGCATAGCTGTTTGGCCTGCCCCGCAGCCGGGAAGGCATACGAACACGAGAAGGCATAGCTGCGTGAAACGGACAAGAATACAAGAAGGGCAGGCAAAACAGTGAACAAGAAAACGAGCACAAGAAGGCATAGCTGATTGGCCTGTCCCGCAGCCAGGAAGGCATACGAACACGAGCAAGCACAGCTGCTTGAAACGGACAAAAATGCAATCAGGACGGGCAAAGCAGGGAACAAGACAACGAACACAAGAAGGCATAGCTGTTTGGCCTGTCCCGCAGCCGGGAAGTGTGCGGGCCACACGCGCGCGCATTCCTTCCAGCACAGTGTGCTGTCTGAGCATGTCGGCTCGGAAGGTTACTCAAACCGTACCGGCCTCGGACAAAAAAACAGTAGCGAACACGCATGCCGCATTCACCTGACAGCGCCTCTCCCCCGCCCCCCGATGCTCAAGGCTGGCGGTGGCTCTGACGAGCTGCACCTCGACCGCGGCCTCTCCCCGCGCGTGCCGACTTTGCGTTTCGGGGGGAGGGGGAGCGCTCAGCAGCTGTTTGCCCTTCACCGAATCACAGTGCGGGCCGCACGCGCGCGCCTCCGCACGAGCGGCGGCGCTGCTTCCGGCACAAGCGTGCTGCCTGAGCACGGCGGCTCGGAAGTGCTCAAACCGTACAGTGGGGGCCCGTCCACAAGAAACCTTCCACAGGAAACCCAACCCTGAGACCCCAGGACATCCATTGATTTCTTTGTGTGGGAACGTCACACTTTCCATGGCGAAACCATCGAAGCCCAAGAAACCCAGGGCACCCTGGAGGCAAGCAGGGTGCTTCTTGGCATGGGCCCCCACTGTATTCAAACCATATGGAACGCAGTGTCTGTTCAATATCTGAAGGTCTGAATTTCTGCGCGCACATATCCTCATCATCCTCACCAGCACCATAGTCATCTCCATCGCCAACATCATCATTGCCACCGCCACCCTCATCACCGTCAGCTTCATCACCATCACCATCGTCGTCGCCCTGGCCATCGTTCCCACAGTCGTCATGAACATTATCACCACCATCATCATCACCACCACCACCATCATCATCAGCAGCATCGCGATCATCTCATCATCAGCATCAGCATCAGCATCATCATCGCCGTCGTCGTCGCCGTCGTCGCCATCGTCATCGTCATCGTCATTGACTGTGGCCCGCCCAACTGAGATTGACCAGGCAGATGCACGTGTATGGGACGGATGTTTGCACGAGCATGGGAAATGGCCACACGGGAATGCAGTCGACACATCTTGTATCTGACAGGACGCACCACATGGCCTGCACCTCGTATATTGCATGACATAGTTTGCACCGAATCTGTTTGCACCTCAAACAGTATAACACACAGGATGAAACACGCATGAATTGCGCCAAGTATTTTGCGCCCGTATATTGTACTTGACACATTGCATCGCAAATACTGAATCCCCACAACTTGTCCCGCATAGCTTGCTCCACATACCTTGCGCCGCCTAAACGCAGATCGCGTATACATAGAGGGTGCAAGAGGCCACGAATTGGGGCTCAAACTGGCAAGCATACAACCCTATAAACACCCAAACGATCAAACGAACTAACAAATACCACAACAACACCTTCTTATCCCACAACTGTTCCCCCTCCTTCACCTCCCCTTCCACCTCTTCCCCTTTTTACCTAACAGCTTTTGCTGATAGGTTTCTAGCGGACTCAAAAGAGAGCATCTGATGACTCCACAGGGGGGTCTGGGCGGGTGCCGGGGAAAAGAACCGGGAACAGAGCCAGGCTCGTTTTAAGCCAACAGTCACACACTTCGTGCTCTTCGACCTCCCAGAACTCCATTCCCGGGCCACATTTTGAATAACCGGAGCCAACTGTAGGCCACTTCGTGCTCTTCGACTTCCCAGAACTCCATTCCCGGGCCACATTTTGGATGCCCGGAGCCAACTGTAGGCCACTTCGTGCTCTTCGACTTCCCAGAACTCCATTCCCGGGCCACATTTTGGATGCCCGGAGCCAACTGTAGGCCACTTCGTGCTCTTCGAGTTCCCAGAACTCCATTCCCGGGCCACATTTTGAATGCCCGGAGCCAACTGTAGGCCACTTCGTGGTTCTTCGAGTTCCCAGAACTCCATTCCTGGGCATGATTTTGAATGCCCGGAGCCAACTGTAGGCCACTTCGTGTTCTTCGAGTTCCCAGAATTCCATTCCCGGGCCACATTTTGAATGCTGAGACAGGCTGAGGCTGAGGCTGAGGCAGGCTGAGGCTGAGGCAGGCTGAGGCTGAGGCCGAGGCTGAAGGCAGACTGAGGCTGAGGCTGAAGCAGGCTGAGGCTGAGGCTGAGGCAGGCTGAGGCTGAGGCAGGCTGATGCTGAGGCAGGCTGAGGCTGAGGCTGAGGCTGATGCAGGCTGAGGCTGAGGCAGGCTGAGGCTGAGGCCAAGGCTGAAGGCAGACTGAGGCTTTGGCTGAAGCAGGCTGAGGCTGAGGCTGAGGCTGAGGCTGAGGCAGGCTGAGGCTGAGGCTGAGGCAGGCTGATGCTGAGGCAGGCTGAGGCTGAGGCAGGCTGAGGCTGAGGCTGATGCAGGCTGAGGCTGAGGCAGGCTGAGGCGGAGGCCGAGGTTGAAGGCAGACTGAGGCTGAGGCTGAGGCAGGCTGAGGCTGAGGCTGAGGCAGGCTGAGGCTGAGGCTGAGGCTGAGGCTGGCTGATGCTGAGGCAGGCTGAGGCTGAGGCTGAGGCTGATGCAGGCTGAGGCTGAGGCAGGCTGAGGCTGAGGCCGAGGCTGAAGGCAGACTGAGGCTGAGGCTGAAGCAGGCTGAGGCTGAGGCTGAGGCAGGCTGAGGCTGAGGCTGAGGCAGGCTGATGCTGAGGCAGGCTGAGGCTGAGGCTGAGGCTGATGCAGGCTGAGGCTGAGGCAGGCTGAGGCTGAGGCCGAGGCTGAAGGCAGACTGAGGCTGAGGCAGCAGGCTGAGGCTGAGGCTGAGGCAGGCTGAGGCTGAGGCTGAGGCAGGCTGATGCTGAGGCAGGCTGAGGCTGAGGCTGAGGCTGATGCAGGCTGAGGCTGAGGCAGGCTGAGGCTGAGGCCGAGGCTGAAGGCAGACTGAGGCTGAGGCTGAAGGCTGAGGCTGAGGCTGAGGCTGAGGCAGGCTGAGGCTGAGGCTGATGCAGGCTGAGGCTGAGGCAGGCTGAGGCTGAGGCCGAGGCTGAAGGCAGACTGAGGCTGAGGCTGAAGCAGGCTGAGGCTGAGGCTGAGGCAGGCTGAGGCTGAGGCTGAGGCAGGCTGAGGCTGAGGCTGAGGCTGAGGCTGAGGCTGAGGCTGCAGGCTGAGGCTGAGGCTGAGGCTGAGGCTGAGGCTGAGGCTGACTGCGACTGCCGTTGCCACTGCGACTGTCATCGCGAATGCGACTACGACTGCGAGAACAGCAGAATTATACAACTGGATTCTCATCCGAATCTTAAGGGGAATGCTTCCAGATATGCTCCTACACATCGCTGTTAGGTTGCTTTGCCGGGATAATTCATGTCTCACCTCATCCATCCTCCCCCTCCCAACCCCAACCCCCTCCGCCCCTTCCCCCGCCTCTCGGTCCCCACCTCGTCGTCCCCCTCCTCGCCCCCTCCTCTTCCTCAGCCTTTGCCGAAGCTCCTGGAGTTTGATGCTCAGCTGCACGGTGAACTGCCCGCCCTCTGCGCCGTCGACAGCGTCCTCGCCACCGCCAGCGCAGGTGCCCGCCTCAGCTCCAGGAAGGAGGGGGCAGGTTTTCCCCTCCCCTTCCTCCACCTCCTCCTTCTCCCGCATCCCTCCTCTTCATTCGCCTACGATGGTGGTCAGAATCAGCCAAGGGCAAACGAAGGAACACATATCGGCACCTGGGACGGGCGGCACTTGTGAACGCATGAAAAACGACCCCCGCCCCCCACATGAGGAACTTTATCTAAACCAATGGGACTGTCAAGCGACGCGCGAACTGCAAGCGGAAACTGCTCGACGGTCTGCCAACGACAACGCCGCGCATTTCAATGCGAACGGCGCGATGTTGCTATGCTCATTGGCGTCTGAACTTGGCGTTCCCTTGTGCTGGCACACGGTCAATGCCCAAAATCATTGTGGACATTCGCGCGCTCGTGCCAATGCAAAGACCATGGGCGCGTCGGCCCTTGGCGGCGCTGGCAAAAGCCCCAGGCGGCGCCTGGGGCCCGCCCCGCGTGGGCGCGCAGCGACACGCTTAGATCCATCCAAAAACAAAGTTTAGGCACCAGGCGAAAACAAACTATAAACTCAACATAAAATCGACCCGATTTTCTCCGAAGCAGAAAATCTCGCGCGGGGGAGCCCTGAAAAGTTTATACGAACAGAAGAAAGTGTTTATATAAACGCAAAAAAACTTATAGTGGACCAGTTGCCTCAAGAGAAACGCTCCCGATCTAAACTGTTCCGTCGGCGGGGTTATAAGGGGACGACGGAAGCGGGTGCGGGGGTCCTCATCTGGGCCAGCGGCGCTGCCGTGCGACGAACCGCGACCCCGTCGCCTCAAACTGCATGCCGCGGCGTGGCACGCGCGACCCTGGGAATGCCGGCTCGGGCGCGGCCGCGTCGAGCGGGCCCAGGACGTCGCCGCGCGCGCGGGGCCCCTCTGCGGCAGCTGGCACTGGTCTCGCCGACAGGGCGCCTACACTTACGCTCATTCGCCGTAAATGCGAAACGCTGACATATAAAATCCATAGTTGTGGGGCGGGGGGGCGATTTCCCACTGTTCGAATTGCTGGGCAAGCTCGCCGGCAAGAAGAGCACAACAATGAAAACGAACAAACAATGTCGTACGACCCGGCGGCCACGCCTCTTGAGGGGCGAACGTGCGCGGGCGGCCCCCTTTCCTGGCCGCGTCAGGCGCGTGATCGTGGCAGAGGCACCTGTCGAGCGCGTAACGCACGACTGCTGAACCGTTCGTGCTCGGCGGGGGTGCCCGGCGCGAGAGCTGAGCGAGCGAGCGTACAGGCGAGCGAGAATGCCCTTGACGAGAGCCACGGGGAGGCAGCATCACAGACCTCCCGAATCGCCTCGCGAGACTGAACATGAGCCAGACGCCAGTCTCGCTCCGAGGTGAGGGCATGAGGAGGAAACGAACGAGGTGGAAGGAGGAAAAGGAGGGCATCGGATCGGATCGACACCTAAAAATGCTGGCAACAATTTTAGCAGCACGGACGCACCCGTGCGTTAGGCTCTGGCTAGCGCCTATGCGCGTGGCCTCTATGGCTGGCGTCACAGGCCTACCGCGCAGCCGCGCTTCGCTCATACGCGGAGTGGGGGCGGGCCCGGCAGGGGAGGCCCCGACGCACAGTCCGAAAGCAATTGGAAAAGGGACAGAGGGGGCTGCCCGAATTTGTCTTAAGCGCACCTCCTCCTCCTCCTCCTCCTCCTCCTCCTCCTCCTCCTCCCTCCTCTCCTCCTCCTCCTCCCTCCTCCCTCCTCCTCCTCCTCCTCCTCCTCCTCCTCCTCCTCCTCCTCTTCCTCCTCCTCCTCCTGCTCCTCCTCCTCCTCCTCCTCCTCCTCTTCCTCCTCCTCCTCCTCCTCCTCCTCCTCCTCCTCCTCCTCCTCCTCCTCCTCCTCCTCCTCCTCCTCCTAAACCTGCTCGTTTTCGGACCTCCTGGGTTCCGACTTGCCGGTCGGTGGGCGGAGGCAGACAATCACGGCGCGGCAGGCGGGCGACCTTGCACTTCGAGGCACTTCGAGCACGGCCGCGAGGCGAACGGCGAGACGACTGCGGGGAAAAAGCTCTCCTGCCCCCATCGCACTTGCGCCGAAGGCGCAGCCACCCCCTGGTCCACGCATACTGGCCCCCAGCGCAGAAGTTGGGGCGGGGGCGGGATCTTCTTCCACTTCGAGGGGTTGGTAGAGCGGCACGCACACGCGCCCATGCGACGCTCACGCACCACACGGACACGCGAAGGGTCGCTGTAACCCCCAGTGGGGGAAGGAAGCGGAGGGAATAAAAAAGATGGGCGCCCCCCACAGCGCGCCGAACTTGTTGTCCAGCCCGCGCGGGCGCTCTCGTTCCCCCCCCCCCGCAGCACCCCCTCCCTCCGCTCCCTCTCTGCAAGTGCAGCAAAACCAGGAAACAGTGCAACTCAACGAGGCCTCATTGCTGCAAGCCTGGCTCTGGGATTGACGACGCCACCTTAACTTACCGATGGTGCCTTAGAGGTGGACTACAGCCCTGCGCTAAAGCTGCAATCCGACTCATCCTCCAAAGCCGATCACGACTGGGGCCTGTCCAAGCTAATCTTAGGCGCGGCGACGAGGAGGGCCCGTATATCATGAGGCGGCTTATTTTTAGCTCGTGGCCCCACAACAGAGCAAAACCAAGGCGCGCCAGCCTGCGCTTGACCGTCATTAGTAGTCAGGATCGCGTCGAAGGCGACCCTCATCTCACCAAGCACATGGATGCGCGCCTGCAGAAGCTGCATCATCCATCGGTGCTCTTCCACCTCCGACGGGCCGATCTCAGGGTGGAGCCCCTCTCCATTTCGTCAGGCTTGTCCCGAAGGGTGTCCGCCTTTCCCTGGGCGGCCTCGCGGCAGTCTAGCATGCCCCCAAACGTCACTGACAGCATAACATGCGCCACCGCGCACTTTGCACGGCACTCTTTCACCTCAGCCTCCTCTTAAAGGTAAACAGCACCCACGGCGCCAGGCAGGACGACGCTCTGTCATCGGAACTCTGAGACACACTGGGGTTGAGTGGACGGACTGGCAAGGAAAACATAAACGCATGATAGCTTGACAGATGCAGCTGCCGGCGCGCCGACCTCCGTCTCTCTCCAATAAGTGCGCGCTCTTCTTGCGCATCCACGTAGTACTTGTAATGGTATTGCGCGCGAGCTGAACACACATGTTCCCGCTAAACTGCGCTCCCAAATTAAGAACGCTCGCTCCGTGCGTCGATAGCTGTCTGCCTGGGCCCCCGAAACCATACTCCTCAGTGTAGTAAGTCCGTGAAGGCCCCTTCCAAGCGATGCTAGTCGCGCCCTTTCCACTCTCTCTTGCTAAGTAAGCCCTTCACCTGCGTTTCGCACGCTCTCTCGAACTCAACCGCAAGGCCCGGGCCCGAGGGATGTTCGGCTCTGGTCCTGGAATACCAGTCCCGGGGCTTCCTTGATCTTCAATGCTTGGATCGGGGGGGCGGCCGACGCCGCCCAACTCGCCCCCTGAGCACTGCCTCCGCCCACCGCCCACCTCGGGGATGGCCGCTGCCAGTCGAGCGCCGGGCATCGGATTGATACAGATAATATAAGAAAACCACTCCGCGATTCGCGTCGCCTACGCCCGGGGTTCCGGAGGCTTCCTTGGCCATTTACTTTATTTCTGCCCCCCCCACCCGGCTCGAGTCGTCGGCGAACGCTAGATCTGTCACATATGCTGGCGCTCTTGCTCAAAAGGGGCGTCGGCTTGGAACGCCTCTTCCACTGCTTCGACGCACTCGGTGGCTACGCGACAGCGGGGCGGACCGAGGGCGCGCCCTTTGCCCGCTGAATCGATCTTCCACTGGCGCTCTTTGCCCCCGCCCAAACAAGCCAGCGCGGCGGGCGAATCGAAGGGCACGAGCCAAACTTCGCCCGCGATGCCATCCTGCACTCTATTTCTATTGCCAGCGGTCTCGCGCAAAAACGAAGTCTGCGGCGTGACCGCCGCTGCCTCCACGTCGTCGCCGGGCCCTGCCACGCGCGCCTTTCGTCGCGCACTCCGCCCCCCTCTTCCTGCCGACGACCCCGCGGCCCCCGACCCCTGCCCCCCCGCCGGCCTCTTCCCCAGCCCCCTTTTCCAGTAACTCTCCACATGTTATGCCCGCTGCCACGCGGGCGAGGAAGAAGAGGAGAAAGCGGCTCATGCCGCTCACGCACCACCACTGCCCCTGGGCCAGGACGGCGCCCTATAGCGCGCCAGCGATAATCGCTGCAATCCCGAAACTCGCAACCACAGAGACCGCGAGCGAGCTCATCTGGCCACTGTGGTTCGCGACCCAATTTAACCGATCAGCACGACAACGCCCGCGCGCCTCTGCCGCGCGCACCACGAGATTCAGTGCCATACGCCGATTAGCGAACGCGCACCTGAGCCACGGGCAAACATTCGACCTCACCAAGACCCGAATCAAAGGTTGCAGCTGATGCTCATATCTACGACGTGGCGCCAGCGCTGCTTGCGCGCGAAATCATGCTTCGCACGTTCTGTGTTCATCCCCTTCCCTCACAGGAAAGTCGCGCCACTAATGCTTCTCCAGGTCGTCATCCTCCTCTTCGGCCCGTGTCTTATGCGCTCGAATGTGGCATCTAGACCCTTGCCTCGCGTCACTTGTCAGCGCTGAGAGGTTCGCTGCGAGCCACCGCGCGCGCGCCCCCTGCTGCAACATGCTGACGTCGCTCTCTTTCTCATCGAAGCATCCAGCCATCGCTTCATCAACCAAAGCTAATGCTGTTGAATCGTCTAGATACTCCTTCGCCCAAAGGGGTCGTCTGCTCAGTCAGATACCCGCCGCCACGCACCCTTTCCACCCCTAGAAAAACATCAACGCCCGAGGCCCCCAAGACTGCGCCCGCCACTCCTCCACGGCCCTTCCGACATCGGGGCCGCGCCCGATACCGTCGGAGCCCACGCACACGAAAGACGTCAGTTCGCCCGAGTCGCCACTCCCGAAATACCGCCACCGTCGCGCTACTAGCACTTGGCAGAGGGCGA